CCCGCCCACACCCCTCTCTGCTGCATTTACCAGCTCCCGACGGGACAACGTGTGAAAAGTACTCTAAGGTGGAAAGCGCGAGAAATGAACAGTTCTTTTGAACTTGGTTGACACTTTTTTTAAATTGCTTGCAAATACTACATATTTCCTTTGAACATTTGATGTATAATTCCGTTTTATCATCTCTTAACTGTTCCATTCCTGTAATCGGAATTGAACATTTGATTGGTTGAGATTATTGTATTTCTTTCTTTCACCCGGTAACTATGTAGGAGAAACTTGTACCTAGGGACAGATATACCTACGGGCAAAGCATGTTTTCGAGAAGTGTTTGGAAGAAATTTTGGATTGTGATTTTCCCTGTATTTCTTTTGCCATTTGGATTATTTAAGCGAACAATTAAGCAGTGTGAGCGGTGATTTTAGGAGAGTTTAATAAATTTGACGAGTGAAAAGGAAAAAAATCTGTATTTTTCTTTCATCAATTTTGTAATAACAACTATTACTTTACGAAAATGAAAGGAGAACTACACTTATTAGCATAGAATTATACTTCTTCGATGTATATTTCTTTCTTGTAGGTAACCTACAATTAACAGTAGCCATGTTCGTTCATGATTGCAGAGTGTTGTACCTAAGAACAGTGACTGTTGATGTTCCTAGAGTCATCTTTAGGTACGTACGTATTAAATTGAATTCAATTTGTTTCAGGATGTAATCTGGCCATACCATGAAGCAAAGGAAACAACAAAAGGTCTCAACCACCAACAGAAACAATAAATAATGCAGTTTTGATTGTTGTTAAAGATCGTAATGCCAATTCGTTGTTCAGCAATAGTTCAGTTATAGAAAAGGACGAATCTGAAAAATTTATTGTGCAATAATTTAAAAAATTCACATATAATGATTCACTCATTCAAAATTGATGAAGATTCTGAAACATATGAAGTTGATTTCGAGAACATAAAAATTAAGCTTCCTGACCCATCTGTGTACGGTTGTTTTCAACGACGGCAAACATTTGTTTTCCATGTTTTCTGAACAAGTTATAATGTAGGTTGAAATCCTCTCTGTTTAAAAAATACTCTTGTTATATAATATGAAGTTGACATAGAGGACAGAACATAAGCTCCAGAACAAACCTGTGTTTGGTTGAATTTAATGAAAGCTAAAATTAGTTTTTTCCTTTACACACTATTTATTATAATCTAGGTTAAAGATTTTCACCATGAAAAAATAATATGTATTCAGATGTATATTTTTTCACTTCTCCTACATTGTCCCCAGGCACATCACTATGCGTCCCCAGGTACATCAATGCGATGCACCTAGGGATACATTGTACGCAAATAAATTCTCGAAAAGGAACTTTTACAATATTCTTAAAATATTATTATTACACATAAATATGCTAAGATGTGTAACATTCCAAAAATATGTACATCAACAAATTCACATCCAAAATAAGAGAAAAAATTAAAACATGGAAAGTGTCCCTAGGTATGACAGTTTCCCCTATGACTGGCGATAATTTACATTGATATCGACCTAGCAGAGACATTTTGGTCATGTAATTTGACTAAGAGTTGACAAGGATTGTTGAAATTAAGATTTACTACTTACTATAATCTTCATTCGTGAAAGAATTCTCTCAAACATCAATGGGGCTTGACAAATTCATTAGTAAACTTCGAAGCACGTGTGATATTAACTTTTAATATTAAACATCAAGGAAATAAGAACATCACCCGTATGTATCATGCATGGAAACTATTAAGCAAGTTATTTCTAATGGTAAAAACCATTCTTAAATTGATTGTTAAACTATTAATGCTCACAATAGTATATTGGTTAAATGTATCATCGATCGTTATTTATTGACTTAAGCTCTTTTCATGAGTAAATCACTACCAAGCTTTAAATTACGTTTACTACGATTCGTTATCTGATTTTTAAAGTAATATTTAACCTAATATTTTATTGTACGGAAAATTATAAGGTATTTTAACTATACTCGTTGTTAGCTGTCATTATGTATTTGCATCTTAGACTTTTCACCTGCCACTTATTTTACAGTCCCTGCAATGTCCCAGCACAGATGATGTTGAACCCCGAACAAATGCATAAGATCATTAACAGATTCTCCAAAAAAGTGAAGAAAATGTATACATGCAAGAAAAGAATAAGGCTTATTCCGTTCTTAAATGAAGCAAAAGAAAACATTGCAGCTGAAAGAAGGGAGGTAGTTCCTTCATTAACGGCAGGCGCGTTAGCGCCTTGTCAGTGTAAAACGACAATAAATGCAAAGGGATTGAGAGAGTTAAGTGGGAAAAATGACCTAACGATTGTCAGTTGGCACCCCAAAACTTGCTGCAACTGAACGATAAATTGTTCTGGCCACATCGTTTTGAATCTGTGGGAAATACGGAACTGAAACAGAATTTGAATTAAATAATTAGGAAAGAATTTGAAGATACGTACAATACAATTTCAAAATTCATTTGAACTCGCGAGATGTACAATGCCATGGAATAGAAATCAACCTTTACTTAAATTGACTGTTCGAGCTAGAGCTTACTTGCAATAGAAAAGATCTACATTCTTAGACCGTTCACAATTAATAAATAATACTACATTTCTCTTCCTCCCAAACTCGAAAGCCATCCCCGCCGCTGGCTGCACGTGCACAAAGCATTCCGAGTGGTTGTGTGCAACGCTCGTGGTGACCCGGATCCCGCCAGGCACACGGGCTCCAGCTGGGCGAGCGGCGCCGCGTCGGATACGCGTTGGCTGCGCCCCGGGCACAAAGGCCCAGCCCCCAGCGCCCGCCCCGCCCCCGCTCGATGTGGGCCAGTGGCGCCTCCGCACAACGCCACGTTTTTGCATGAGGAGCTGCGTCATCCACTCATCCAAGCCCACCCTTCCACACACTCAGGAAGGGCATTGAGGGCTTCTCCAATCAAATTAAGTGATGCTACAACAGCACATCTTTCTTTAATTATTGGTAACGGTTATGTGATATTTTGTTATTGCATCTTCTATCCTATTTACGCATTAACCAACACTTCAAAAAGTTTTAAATAAAATATGACGAAAAGGTTCAAAAAAAGCATAATTCTTAAACCATAACTTTGAAAATTGAAAATTTTAAATAAAAATTGCTTTTTGCCATGGAATTTAGCGTACTATGCTTAAGTTGAAAAGACGAAATTGAGGAACGTTTCTTAATTTGAACAGACTTTTTATTTTTCATTACCGCGCTCTCAATAAAGATACAATTAAGGCAAACTTTATTAAAAAAATGTACAATCTGTGTTGTTTCATTATAAAATCTATAATTTTAATTCCATCGTTTGTGGAGAAGTGGTGTGGAAGAAAAACTGAAAGGGTGCAATCAGTCCAACTCGAGATTCTGGTTGTCTGATTTAAACTCAGTCTAGTCTCTTACGCTGAACTTCGAAAGAAATGCTCCAGTGGAAAAACTTCAGATTGAAAAAAATAATCTGTTTATTGAAATTAACATTAATACAATATATCAAGAAAAAAAACCACTCTGTTGAATTAGTAAAAGGAAATCACAGTTTTCTTGAGGAAATATAATAGACAGCCCACTGCTTTATTGAATTATTTTCACACTTAAAGATAAAGATTATACCTAGATCAATCATTTTATTTTAAACTGAACTTGCCTTCGTGGTATAAAATATACCGAATTCATTAAAACACTACATATCACTATCTAAATAGATCATTAATAACTAGCATTTTTAATCGATAAACACCTTTTAATAAGCTTTTGGGCAAATTGACGAATCACCGCGGTGACTAGTAACATTAGATTTCATCTCTGTAACTTAAGCTAATAAATTTATTAATGCTGGATTTAAGTTTTGAACATATCACGTGTGAACCTATAACCTACATCCTAGACAACCATCATATATTTTTCCATTTACTTTCTACATCTCGTACAAAACCAGCTCGATTCATCATCGCGATGCTCTTAGTAACCTGGTGAAGAGAAACCTGTTTCATTCTTATTCGCTTGAAATCAACTACCTTGACTTTCTATTGTCCTTGTATTTATTGTCCGGATGAGCTGTTCGTTAAAACTGTTCTTTCCACTTAGTCCAATAGATTATATCTTGGACGCTTTAGGAAAACTTGTCCATTGCCTTGTTAAACGTTTTAGTTCCACTTTCGTATTTACAGATAGAATCACCTGATGGGGATTCTTCATTACCATTCATTCTTTACTACAAGTGTAGCAGTAAATCCTTTTGTACCAGTACCTGTGATATTTTTGTAATAATTTGCAACCAGTAGTGGCGTTGAAAGGCCCAAGGATTGTGATATTCAGTAGATACTATGTACGACTATACGTTTATACATGCACGCAAACATGAAGACTAGGAGCAATGTGATCCAGAGCAGGACTCACCAGAACGTGAGGCAGCGCGGCTGCTGCGAGCCCGGGAACTCGCGCGACGTGAACTGCGTGACGCTGCCGGCGGACTGCAGCGGCCTGCGGCCCAGGCTCAGGAAGTACTCTGGAAAGAGCGCGATCAGGTCGCCGATCAACGTCTTTGTAGTTAACGTATTTCTCTAAATACAGTGATGAACGATTTAGATTGAAAAAAATATAACAAATACGGGTATATTACTGGTGGTGGTAAGTGGTGGTAATACTACCACCACTTACCACTACCCCTTACTACTACCTCTACCACAAATACCTCCGTCACTGTCACCACTACCACTACTACGTCTACTACCATCACTACCCCACCACTACCAACACGACGACTACTACAGCCAATAGTACTACTACTTCTGGTAATTCTATTAATACTACCACTTCTGGTACTACTATTACTACTGGTACTACTGCTACTACTACTACTACTACTACTACTACTACTACTACTACTACTGCTGCTGCTACTACTACTACTACTACTACTACTATTACTACTACCACTACTACTATTACTGCTAATATTAGAACTACTATTACTACTACTACTACTGTCACTACTACTATTACTACTACTGCGGCCACTACTACTACAACAAATCAGTGTTTCCGCATACGTTGTCTCGTAAAACCTTGGTCCAGGCCGTGGACTGCTTACCGTCACGGCGGTGGGCGGCGGCGTGCGGCGAGGGCCGCGGCCGGCGGCGGAAGCGCGCGTCCAGGCTGCGGGTGGGCGCGCGCTCCCACTCCACGCCCTGGCGGTTGCCCGACGACGCCCAGCCGCACTCGTCGATCTCGAAGGTGCAGTCGCCGGCGTCCGGCGCGGCCACCTGCGGCGCCGCTGCACCCCGCGTCACTCGCTCGCGCGCGTCCACTACTACCGTCAGTGGGGTGCATGGGATATTGAGGTTCGATTGGCTGGTTAGTGATTCTGAGTGTTAAGGTCATTTGTCCAGTAAGTTCAGCGCACGTCTTTTCGTAGGGAAGTGGCGGTGGTCTTCCCCCGCTGGATAGTGAGACCTTCCCGTCGGCTGGTAGGGTGCCTCCTACCAGCGGAGCACCGCCCTATCAGGGACAAGCCCTAAGCTCCCGACCGCTCTCCCGGCTCGTGTGATCATCTAAGTGTAAGTGTGTAAGTAAGGGGTGAAGAGAGGACAACGAAGAGAAAGGAAAGATCGCGCTCGGTGTATGGCTCGTTTGTTAGGATACTGTTCCGGCATTCGCCAGATGCTGATAGGAAAAACACGCAAAACTACTGACCAGAGTACCGTCTTCTAGAATTCTCCTCCAGGCAGTGGCTGAAGTCGACCCAGCTATAAAGCGACTGTCGAACTCTAAGACCTCCTGGTAAATGGCTCAGCTGATGCCCTGAGCCACTTCTCCCGGTGTGATACTCGTATTTCGGGAGGTCGAGAGTCTCCCGGGAAAGACGGGAGGTCTTTCTGGGTAGTTAGATCCGTGAAGGGCACATTGGCTTGTGAGGTTTGCGTCTTCCAGATATCTCCCGCAACAGGGCGCCGCCCCGTGCTCCTGACTGGTCTCCCGTCGTATTTGATACGGTAGTGCATGCGCGTGGCGAGGGGGGAACAGCATGAGGAAAGAAAGATACCGCGCAGTTCGGGACGCATTTGTTAAGGTACTTCCCTGGCTTTCGCTTGATATTTATAGGAGAAATCATTCGAAATGACTATAAGAAACGCTTTAGTTTCGTTCTCAAGCCATTTTCAAAACATAATAATATTTGTAAATATATAAATAGTTTTGATAGTAAAATAATTATATACACATATTATGCTATTCACTATGGTTTAGAACATTACAATTTATATTCACTGATGCAGAAAATTCAAAGAGTTTGAAAAACGTGGAACCGATGATACGTGAGATGTCAAATCTGAAAGTCACCAGTGATTGGATGAACTGAGGATTACGATTTCAATCATCACCAACTAGATTGTCAACAGAATGGCACTGGCTATGTACTAAGACTGTTCCTGTGCTTTTCGTAAACAACATTGCATACTCTACGTACTATTTTACAAATAAACCTCGTATTGTTTTATAAAAACTAGTGTTCAATTTATTCTATAATCTTCTAGTCCAGCCTTTCCGGATCCATTTTAAGATGTGATGGAGACATTTTATGTTCGAAAATTTGAAATTGCTCGTAAGGGGATATTTTAAACAATAACATGAATTTTTATTTTACATATTTTAATTCTTTCTTAAATATTATTGAATATGTATATGAGGGTATATACTTCATGTAATGTCATGTAAGATAAGAAATAAAGCATGTAAACAGCGTGGAAGACGGCTCGGAGCATTACCCAGGCGCCGATACAAGTTATAGCCTCGCCAACGAATGCGACGTACTGCAATTGCATTGAGGAGATAATCACATATTCAAATTACAAGGTATTAACATTAGGGTGGCCGAACGAAACGAAGCAGTTATGCAACATTTATACGCAATACATATATGTGCATCGGGTTGCATACTCGAAGACTACGCGCTGCGCTGTAGCGAAGAACGATTGTCTTATGGTTTCAGCAAGGTAAAATTACGAGAGGTACATTCGTCGCTTAATTTGGCTTGGGCACCCTAGTGTTAATATCCTGAACATTTGAAAGTTGTTTTAAAATTTTCTCGTTGAAAATGCAATTCGCTGCATACGTCGACGAACATTCACCTTGAAGAGAGAACAGCGCCTGGGTAGCCGTTTTCCACGCAGCTTATGCTTCATTTCGTATCAGTAGAAACGGAATGTATTGTAATAAATATAATTCCTGCAAGAAGAAGCACGGCGTACAGCGTTGAAAGCGTCGTGTAGTTCAGGGCTATTAAAGAGAGCAGGGTTATTTGTGGTTCAGCGTGCTGTTCGGGTAAGGGGAATAGGAGCGACGTGGTTGGTGCAGATGTATTGGTGCGCTTCGGGTGGGTGTGGGTGCGAGTGTCGCTCGTACCTGGGCAGGGCCCCTGCGTGAAGGAGAGGTCGTCCACTGCGATGTCGCTCATACCCGTGTTGCCCACCGTCGCCTCCAGCAGCACCTGCAAGCGCACGCCACGATCAGCCTCCGCTCACCAGCAAATGGAGAGTCAGGAATCTGCATTACCGGAGTTTCAACGAATCAGGTCATTAGTCCCGTAAGTGAAGTGAGTGTTACATCTCGCGATGTTGCGAAGTTCTCCGCTGGAACGCGAGACCCGGCGCCGAACTACACGTTGGATTGCGGGGCTTCTTTCCATTCCAGGTATCTCACCAACCCATACGTGTCAAGCTGTAAGTCTCTCGACAATGTAGTACATGTAAGTGTATGTGTTTATTAAGGGAGAGGAGGGTACTAGGAAGAGTAAGGAAAGATCGCGCGGGGTAGTGGCCAGCTTGTTAAGGTACTGCTCCAGCATTCATTTGGTATTCATCGAAAAAAAAATAAACATGAAAAACTACCAATTAGAGCAGCTGGTCTGTTAAATTAGAGTTAGCATGCTGGTCTTCTAGCCGCTACTTGAATTTAAATCAGCTAGAATGTAAGCAGAGAAGAAATTCCACCACCGTCGGGACTGGAACCCTAGGACCGCCGGTAAAGGGCGTTACCTTACCTGGTAGTCGTTGAGCGAGGAGACGGTGAGCTCGCCCATGAACCAGGCGTTGCCCGCGTTGCCGGACAGCTCCCACAGCGTGGAGGTGGCGGGCCCCGGGCCCTCGTGGAAGAAGCGGCGCAGCAGCACGCGCAGCGACCCCACCGCCGGCCCGAACATGTGGAACCACAGCCGCATGCACAGCGGGTGGTCGTGCTCTGCGCATTATTTATTTATTTATTTATTTATTTATTTATTTATTTATTTATTTATTTATTTATTTATTTATTTAAACGTCAACAATAATTTGGAACTGTGTGTAACGTACCATGGGGAGAAGTATATTCTGTGCACGTATTCTGAAATTCTGGAATCCCTACCCTAACCCATACACAAGTTGAATTCTGAATATAGATGAAATGAACATATTTGGCAAGAAGTGATAAGAAAGTTCTCTGCAGTGTAATAAAAACTATTAGCGAAGGCGAATCAGTTACAGAGTTTGGATCTTCGTGAAGAAATCGTGGAGGACTTCCTGTCGTGAGGACATAGGAATGAATAATTTCAATATTACCCACTGAACGCAAAAAGACATGCACAGATAGTGAAGTTACATTTATGTCCGTAAGAAAAACACGGAGTCATCACATCGTTTGATCGAAGGATCAGGGAACTAAACAAAAAACGTGATCGGGAAGGGGGTCATTGACCCTGAAACTGAGGTTCAATGCTTGTTAGATGTTAACCGTCCAAATGGTCATTAATACATTCAAAATAGTCGTTAAAATTAATATTACTTTCCTTTTTGATGCTCGGTGTAGTCTCTAATTGTATTGAAAGTTATGCAAGAGCTTCAAACAGTAATTGATTAATTTTTTCCGGGTACGTAAACGGCAACTATCATCAGTTACGTTAGTGTAGTGAATGATTTCATCGAGGAAGATGGCGTTGTTTCTCTCCAGCTGCATTGTGAGATCCCGCGCCGACGTGTACTTGCGAAGGAATACTCCCTCCAGGTACATCCCCCAACGAGCAGCCAGGACAAGCGCTAAGTTCCCAATATATGCTATGGAGTAGAGTACGTAAGTGAATCGAATCGGTAAACATTCTGCTAAGAATCGAGGAAGTGAACATTATCTTTGTTAAGATACACAAAGAGTGCAATTTTGCGATCGAATGGAATTGGTGTGCGGATACGTGTATCGCACACCGCGTACGCGTGTATTGAATGTGAATACACGGAAGCTGTACTCTGCAAAAATGTGAAAACAGAAATAAAGACGTAATAGCGAGATGTCGAATACTTCTTCTATTCCTATCCAATCCCATGTTTCCTATTTCTTCTATTAAAATTGGCATTACAATTGCAAAGCAGACTTGCAGATGCTGTCAGTGAACAAATGAAGATCGCGGCTCTACAGAAATACGCTACCAATTAAGAATTCCTAAATTATTTATTGTCAATATTAAGAGAAACATATGCTACATTTTACGTCTGAAACGATTAACTCTGCATGCACTTAAGTCGATTTATTTGTGAAAACAGATTTGCTGGCTAACTGGAATGGTTCCAGCGCCTGCACCGGTAGCCGAACTTTTTAACCAAGCTCCGCTAAGTACGAAAGTTAAGCAGCTGGAGACACCGCCAGTTCCTGGATGTGTGGCCTTCCGGACCCGAACACTAAAGGCGCTGAGCCCCTGACCGATGGGGATAAAAGTCTCTGACTTACGACTTTGCTTACCTTGACATCCAACTGACTTTTGTTCGAGAAGGGTTACTCCATTCGAGAAGGGTAGCGTATCGGACTGTTGTACCCAAGTTGGAGAGTTCAAACCCGAAAATCCAAGCCGTGGATTTTTATTGGCGAAAAAATCCTACGTACGCCTTCCTTCGGAGGGGAAGTAAAGCCGGCTGTCCCATGTTAGTAGATTTACTTGCATGTAAAAGATCCTCAAGCCTAAATGACGCCTCTGAGCTAAATTCAAATCGCCTATTTCTCGCCCAAGAAATACCTCCTTTCACTGCTAGCTGGTGAAAGGAGCCTCGCAAAATTTGCGTGGTCAGACGGAAGAGCAGGCCTCATGGCCTAAGTCTCGCCGCGTAAAATAAGGCATTCATTCAATTCAATTCCATACTCCACGTGAACGCCAGTTGCCCTGAAGGGTTCCCGGCTTGCCACGCGCGGAGCGGAAGCGCGCTCCGCCCGGGGGCGGGAGGGAGCGAAGTGCACGCACCGGTGGCGGGGAAGGCGGCGCTGGCGAGGCGCGCGCGGTCGCCGGGGCGGCGCGGGAACGCCGAGTCCACGAAGGCGTAGCCCCCGCTGCCCGCGGCGTCGCGCGAGCTGTCCCGCGAGGGGCCCGTCACCGGGTTGTGGCTGCCGCGGCTCTGCAACACACGCGCGTCCGCTTCGCATGGCACCCGCGGCGGAGAGAGACGGGCGAGGCTCTCCGGCGCACCCAGCTTTCTCGCTCTGCGCAGCACCGCTTTGCGTCACGAACCACGTCACCACAGCACGGGCACGTCCTTCGAAAAGACAGACGCCGTCCGCCATTTTGCATGGAGAGCGAGAAGAGTTGAGCAACATTTTGAAAGTGGCATAAAGTGACAATTTTCAACGAACATTATCAAAAATAACGCTATCAAGATGTACAAGATGTAATATTTAAAAGAAATGTTGCATATACGCGTTTAAATCACTTGTAACAAGGTGATAATTTTGGTATCTCGCTGAATTTAAAATTACCGCTAATATTGTGACGCAAACTGGTGCTTGAAGCTCATTAGCTTAAGTCGGGTACGATAGGTAATAGCTCACCCATCTCTTTCCATCATGATTACATTCATCCCAATAGAATTAGGGATTAGGGAATTAGGGGGATATTACGTCGCTTGCTATTAGAGAGACTTTGCACATCGACGCTTAACGTTTAACGACTAAGCGATTGTCACGTGACGCTCGTAACATCATTTATGGTTTATGTCACGCACAGAAGAGTTAGTCGGGCTTGGTTCTGTAAGCGAGACTTCATAACGTGTATCGAATCGCTTACAAGTAAAACTTGTTTCGGGTTATTAGAGTGTCTTAGTGAAGTAAAAATCAACATGGTTCCCAAAAGTCGGTTGCAATTTTCTGTAAAAGATAATGTATGCTATTGAAGGAAGCGTTGGCTTCCAATCCTTTGGAGGATGGAAACCAACGGGGGAATATGAAAATCGTCGAGCGTTCGTAAACAAGAAAGATCTTTAAAATAAGAAGCAATTGAGAGTTGCAAATGTTTTCTAATTCCGGATCGATTTGGTTCTAAAATTTTGCGCAAATGCACATTGTACGTCCATGTCAATAGCTCTATGTGCACATGCTTAAATTAATTCTTCCATCGCAGGGAACAACACTAACAACTACATGGACAGGAATGAACTCTTTGTAAACACCTGGCAACACCCAGAATAAAAGGAAGTTAATAACACTTGGCCACACTTCTGAATCACTTCTTGTTGATCTATGCCGGGAAACAAGGCTTTACGATGTAAATCAATGTAAGTAATCGATGTACGAACTCAAAACCACGACATATGAAATGGGAAGTTGATAAAGTTGATGGGAAGAAATAAATAAAAGTCTAAAAAGCGCCAAATTTTTGTGTAACTTATTACTATTGCAACCAGACGTCAACAACTTTTATGCGTAAGGGGAAACATCGTGCAAAAACTCTCTGAGCGTCACACAGCATTCGACGTTTCGGTTAAGTACAAAACCTTTCTATTGATGCTCCCTGAGAAGTGTCCTTTGAACAAGGACACAGGTCACCATATATATTACAATTTCCATTCTTATTAAAGACAATTATTATGAGTGATCCCTTGGGTGACTGTAACTGACGGAACAAATGAAGTGATGTACTGAAAAACATTTTGTTTGTGACTTGCAATTTACACTTGCGTAAATCATCACATCATCAATGGAAACTACTTTACTGCACCAAAATTTTAAAATTGCATGCAACACATTGTTTTTTTGTGCGAATTCTTTTAAAAAATTTAGTAATTTACGAAATTTAAATTATTTATTATGTGATCAATACCTTTCCAAAACTTCTTTTACGCTTTATTACATTTCACATTCATTTATCGCCCCCCTTCAGCCATCTACGCCCAGTCCAACACCCAGCGACCAGCACCGCGTGGGATCTCCGTGCTGGGCAAGCCCTTGGCTGTATGGCGCCGCCCGGAGCGCCGGGCGCGTGGCTCACCAGCGCCCAGTCAAAGTCGTCGCCGCGCTCGTTGCTCCAGTCGCAGAAGCCCGCGGCGAAGGTGCAGTGGCCGCGGCACTGCGCGCCCGGCCGCAGGCGCACGCTGTCCACGGCGATGTAGCCGCGGTAGGCGCGCGCGGGGTCGCTGGCGTCCACCGGCCACCCCTCGAAGATGAGCTGCGCCCCACACACACAAACACACACACACACACAATGCAGTCGCGTATGGAGCTTTGTATTTAGCTATGTATTTATGTGGATTATGGACCTCTGAATGAACTATTGAGAAGATAGCGATAATTTAAGTCAAATAGATAAGAATATTACGATTGTCACTAATACTATTAATAATTTAATACACAGGTATCCTTCTTTATTTTTCGACAATTAATGAGCCATGTTTTCAAAAAAGATTTTGTTGTTCATATAATTCTGGAATAAATATTAGTTCAAAGCTGATGATGTGTGTAAATATAACTCGAAACGTCGTGTTCCAGCATCATTTAGGCAATAAAAACTCTTGAAAAAACTGGGTTATTGGTTGTGGAAAATAAAAAGAATACCTGTGTTACTGTACCAATTAGCGTTACAGTAACGATAGCGTTAATGTTGGTGATGTATATAGAGAATCACAATGGATAAATATTGGAATGAGATGCAGGGTAAACCGAAGAACTCCATGAAAACCCGCTGAGAGCTCGCTTTGTTCACAGCTAATTTCACAAGCGTTGGTTGAGGATTGAATCCAGGACCTTGCGGAAAGTATGTGCCGGCCATTACGCCGCGAACCCGCAAGAAACTCACAGTATTCGTACTTGGAGGGATGCAGAGTCCTGGAGAAACGTGAGTGTGACAGAATTGAAAAAACTGATTTCGATATCTTGCTTGATTATTTCATGTTTCAACTACTATCGCCATTAGTCCCGTAAGTGTAATGCATGTTTTAC